CCCTACACTAAACACACTGGGCACATCCACACAAGATGTTTACTGCAGATTGCCTAATTAGCTCCACAATAAAGTGTCACTATCTATTAAGCCACAGTAAACTAATAAATACCAGTGTAGGATAGTACTTGTCAACACAGTACCGCCTTGAGGGGGAGTTATTTACTCTGTCGCACTGCAGGTGTGGATGCTGATGAGGCTGGCTGGGGTATGAGGGTGTTGCCTGCTACCTGGCTCTACTTAGTGCCACCTTGGTGCTCCAGCCAGCCCCTCTGCAGTGCATTGATCTGGGTTGGAGCATCCCCAGGCTGGCAGGCTGACCCATAGGGTTCCCTGCCAGCTGGGGCTGCTCCCACCCAGCTCAATGTGCTGCGGTCCTGGGCACACATGTAAATATGGCACTTGGGAGCAATAAACTCCAGTGTGAGCTGCACCAGAGTTTATTTAGTCAAATTAATAACACATGTAGATGCGCCCACTGGGTTTTAGAGCAGTGTCTTCAAATAGGTGACGCTTTTCTGGGTGGGCTGCTTCCTAAACAGGAAGCACTGCTGCTGCAGCTATACAGTGAAATGGGTGGGATAATTAACATGCAGGCTAATTGTCACTGCTGTTCAGCAGTACTAGTTAGCCCACCCAAATGCAATATGGGCATGGCTACACTGCTTTTCCTTTAGGAAACAGAGCAATATGTTTGAGGATGCTACTCTGAAGCACAATATGTTTCCTATGTAGACTTGGCCAATGAGAAACTAGGGACACAGGAACTGCCCTGGTAAGTCAGACCAGCACTATACATAGCAACTTTTGTCCAACAGTAACCCAAACCAGATAATTCACAAAAAGCACACACTGAGTATCGCTACGCAAGATGCTTTACTGTGCAATAGAGCTAATTATTGTGCAGTAAGCATCCACATCTACACGTGTAGATGCTTACTGCTCAGTAATTGGCTCTAACTTACTCGTAAATTTGTTATCTGCAATTAAAAGTAGCAAATTTACTCAAGATTACTTACTCCGCAGTAGTGCATGTGTAGACACCTGACCAGGAGGAAATGTGATCCTGGTCAGCCAGGCAGCATGGGATGGGAGATTAATCCCTGCTGCTGAGAGCTGCCTGCTGCTGGAGTGGGCTCCGCTACCAGAGCCTGGGCAGGGACAAAGTCGCTCTGCTCCACAATCATGGGGCTGGGAGATCCTTATTTCCCAGCGCCAGCTGCACAACCACAGAACTGAGGCTGGGAGACAAGAATCTCCCAGTGCCAGCCCCACAACCATTTTGTCATGGATTTTGTCACACTGACGATTCATGTTCATCTTGGAATCCACTATGACTCCAAGATCCCTTTCTGCTTTTGTGCTGCTGAGAGGGTCATTCCCCAGCCAGTAGGTGTGCTGGATATTTTTATGCCCTAGGTGCAGCATTCTGCATTTGTCCTTGTTGTACTGCATCCTATTGTGTGCTGCCCACTTATCCAGCCTGTCCAGGTCTGCGTGCAATCATTCCCTACCCTCTGGAGTGGAGGCCCCGGGAAAGGACAGCAGGGCGGGAGCCCACACCCACAGCCCGTGCCCTATGCACAGATCTGGGGGGCACAGGTTCCCTCCTGCCCCCTTGGGAGTGCATGCCAAGGTGGGGAGTCAGTCACCCCCCACCCCAACAAGCTGCCCAGGCCCCATCCTGCTCCCCAATGGGGCTCTACAGCTGTGTGTTGCAGCCCCAGGCCCCTAGGCCCACCCCCACCAGCTGGGCAGCAGCCCCAGCCCCAGGCCTGCCCAACTCTCTCCCTCCCCATGGGGGCCTCAATTCCCCTCTTCCTCCCAATCACCTGCGGAAGCTGCTCTCAGGCTACCTGGGGCCATGTGCAGGTAGATGCACGTGGTGCCCCGTGTCACCACCCTCCTCCTGCTCCCTTCCAGCTTCCTGCAGGCTGGAACTCTGCCAGCTCATTGCAAAACTGGAAAATCCATGGGTTTCTTCAGTAAACAAGAAATCTGAGTTTTCCTCTGGCAAAAGGTAAAATCTGCTGTCTATTCTGTTTTTTCATGGGCAACAGAAAACCTGGATCCCTGCTCATGACTGTCCATCTTAAACTGGTGGGGAGCCAATATCCCACTGTTATCAGTATGTATTACATGATTCTTGATACTGCAGATGAAACCAAGGAGGAATTCTATGCCAACCTTGACCAAGTGCTTTCTGATGTTTTGAGTGGGAGACAGATTTATTTTACTCTGTAATTTCAATGCCAGAGTCAGAAGGGATTTTAACCTCTGGAACAGAACCATCAACAAGGAAGAGGTAGGAAAGGTCAACTCTAATGACATCCTTCTCTTCACCAAATGATCAGAACATAGGCTCATCATCACCAACACCCTGTTCTTCCAGAAAAACAGCTGCAAGACATCATGGCAATACCCATAATCTGAGCAATGGCACCTCATTGACTATTTTATTTGTGTCTGGGATCATAAAGATGTCTGCATTACCTGAGCCATATTGGGAACAGATGATTGCTGGACTGATCACTGACTCATCCGCTTGGTTATGTCATTCAAACTGGCTCTCAAACAACAGCTGCAGCAGAATCAAAGCCAATGGAAGATCAATGCTGAAGGACTCAAGGACCCAGTGCCTCAATGAAAACTTGGTGAATTCCAGTCAACAACAATGGGAGAATGTCAGTGACATGTAGGGTGCCCTGAAGGCCACCTTCCTCAGTGCCTCTGAAGAGACACTTGGATTCTCTACCAGGGTGGGGTAAAGGAGAGATTTGGAGCCCCACAAAGAAGCCAGGATGTTGGGCCAGGAAGGTCACCTATGGAGGAACTGGCTCCCAGTACTATAACATCAAAATTGTGGCAGGTGAGAAGAAACAGCAATCAGGAAACCCAGGTGACATATTTTAGGTCGCACCCTGCTGCCACCACTAGGCTGAGGGTCAGTCAGGAAGGGCCTTAATCCTTATAACACCTACAAGCAGCAGAGACTGGCTTGGCCTGCAGGTGGAAATATTCACACTGACTGACTGACAAAGGCCCTTGGCAAGACTTAAAAGGACTCTCCTTTGAAGGATGCAGTGGGAACCAGACTAAAAGCAGTTCCAGAAACTCACTGAGGGTATCTGGAGAAGCTGGCTTTCCCAGGTCAGCAACATGGGACAGTTAGGCTGTCTGATACAGGCATGCATTTAGATTCACAGCTGTCATGGAATACTTTTCCAGCAATGCTTTTTCCCCTTTGCTAATTAATATACTTTGTTTGGAAAAGGTCCTTGCTTATAGGTCCCAAAGGGAAGGACTGATCAAGATCTGAGTTGAGAACTCACAGGGCATTAACAGGGTACATCTAGGTGACTTCAGTGTACACAGGGCATAGAAGAATGGGTATGAAGCAGGGGTCACTCCCAGAAAAAACATTACCACCTTGTTCCCATGTTTGATGTGTGTGGGTCAGGCTACCCTCTTAAGAATTCTGTGGAAGTGCTGTATATATACTTTCCCTTAGGGGCTAGAAACTGAACAGAGAGGCAGTTTGCTCTATAGCCATTCTAATATAATAAAAGCCTTAGTCTATCTGTCTGCCTGTCCATAACATTTTATTTGCACTCTGATTGGTTGTCTCCATAGCCAATCACAATGCCGACTGAAACAACCAATCAGAGTGCTCCAAGAGCATTCCAGACAGGAGGCAGTGGTGGCACAGAGTGCTGCCATGATTGTGGGGACGGAGCGGACAGAGCTCTAGAGGCAGCAGCGGTGCGGGGTGGTGGGTGGCAGTGCTCCATCCCCCCTCCGCCCCCCCCATCATTCCTGATGGACAATTGGCTAGTTACTCTATAGCCATCAATGATCTGGAAGGTGGGATGGAGTGCACCCTCAGCAAATTTGCAGATGCCACCAAGCTGTGGGGAGTAGTAGATATGCTGGAGGGTAGGGCTAGGATTCAGAGACCTTAACAAATTGGAGGATTGGACCAAAAGATGGAACAATCCCGTACACTGGTACAAACAGGGGACTGACTGGCTAAGCAACAGCTCTGCAGAAAAGGACCTGGGTGTTACAGTGAACACTGAGCTGAATATAAGCCAACAGTGTGCCCTTGTTGAGAAGAAGGCTAATGGCATACTGGGCTACATTAATAGGAGTGTTGCCAGCAGATCAAGGGAAGTGATTATTCCCCTTTATTTGACAGTGGTGAGCCCACATCTGGAGTACCATGACCAGTTTTGGAGCCCCCACTACAGAAAGGATATGGACAAAATGGAGAGATTCCAGCAGAGGGCAAAAAAAATGGCTAGGGGCTGGGGAACATGACTGCTGTGGAGAGACTGAGGGAACTGGGTTTATTTAGTCTGGACAAGAGAAAACTGAGAGGGGATTTAACAGAAGCCTTCAGTTACCTGAAGAGTGGTTCCAAAGAGGATGGAGCAAGACTGTTTTCAGTGATGGCAGATGACAGACAAGGAGTAACAGTCTCAAGTTGCAGCAAGGGAAGTTTAGGTTAGATATTAGGAAAAAACTCTCTCACAAGGAACATAGTAAATCATTGGAACAGGTTACCCAGAGAGGTGGAATCTCCATCCTTAGAGGTTTTTAAGACCAGACTAGACAAAGCCTCCACTGGGAAGATATTGTTGGGGATGGTCCTGCAGGGGGTTGGACTAGATGACCTCCTGAGGTCCCTTCCAACCCTAATTTTCTATAATTCTATCTGTTATCTTATGTATAGAATATGTCCAACAAGGAGGTAGGGCTGATTTGGGGGCATTTTGATTCAACCACCTAAGGTGCAGAAGAAATGAATTACCTGTCCCTTACTGATGCTCCTTTCAGCTATGGCTGAAGCGTTCTGACAGGGGTGCTAAGTGGATGTCCACATGCCACAATGCAGTACGCTGCAGGGATGACTGCAGTGAGCTCACATACTGCCTTCTCCACAGTACAAGGTTTTTCCATTAAGATACCCAGGCTAGCTCTGCACTGCACATGCTCACTCTGGACCTGTGAACAGAATAGCAGCAGTAGTATAACACAACACGGAGGTAAGATTAGCCCCACTTCTCAGCAGAGCTAATCAGGCTGGGTGCAGTGCCATGTTATCAAGGCTGTATTGCTTCTAGCAGTTGTAGAGTGTCCCTAAGTTTCTCTGCATAGTGCTGCATTCTGCTGTACAGACATTCTAGTGGAAGCGTGCACTGCTGCTGCCTCTGCTGTCTGTCCCTCTGGTGGTTAATAAGCAAAGGACTTCAGCTGAGTAGTTCTTTGAGGCTGGTGGCTTTCATGAACAATATATTCATTAGGTCTGTGCTAAATTTCAAGGAGTGTTTTGTTTCAAAGCTGTTTCAACACATTTTGATTTTGAAACACCGAAATTGAAGCAAAACAGAAGGATTCAAGACAGCTTCAAAATGAAATGAGGGCACTCGAAACATTTTGAAAGTTTCAAAACATTTCGAGTTTTGAAGCAGCCCGGTGGTGGGAGGGGGGGGAGAGCCAGGGCTGCGCTCTGAGTGGCTCCACCAACCCTATGGAGCTTAGCCCGATGGTGGGAGGTGGGGGAGAGCCAGTGGTGGAGCCACTCCAAGCTCAGCCCTGGCTCCAAGCACAGCCCTGACCAGTGGCTCTCTACCGCCTCCCACTGCTGAGCTGAGCTCCATGGGGCTGGCAGAGCTGCTCGGAGCGCAGCCATGGGGCTGGCAGAGCTGCTCGGAGCACAGCCATGGCTCTCCCCCACCTCCCACCACCAGGCTGCACTCTGACCAGCTCCACCAGCCCCATGGAGCTCAGCCCGGCAATGGGAGGAGGGGGAGAGCCAGAGTGCTCCACCTCCCGCCGCCAGGCTGAGCTCCATGGGGCTGGCAGAGCCGCTTGGAGAACAGCCCTGGCTCTCCCCCACCTCCTGTAACCAGGCTGCAGCCTCCTGTCATCCCAAGGGCCCACACCCCCAGGAGGAGTCTGGCACAACCCCACAGTGCTCCCAGGGATGTGGGCTCCCAGATCTGTGCGCAGGATGACAGGAGGCTGCCACTGCTGGCAAGTGACACAAGTTTTGCTTGTCAGCACCTTGAGATGCAGTTTCTCAGAAACCCCTATACCTATCTCCTTGAAACTTGGTAAGATTCATGCGCTCAGAAGGAGCTACCAGCCCTGCAATTTTCATCAAAATCAGACGAGAAATTACACAGTTATAGGCATTTACATTATGCCCCATTATAGCCTATGGGCGAAACATTGAAAAGCATCATCAGCGAAACAGTTTCGACAAAATGAAACGGAACACTGCTTTGAAATGAAATGAAATGATGAAACAAAACACTGTCTCTTCAAAATGGTGAAACAGAAGTTGAAACAAAATTCAGCAATATGCATGCCAGTTCTGAATCTGGGTTCAGTATTGCTGTATTCACACTGTGTCCTTAGCTGCTCACTTTTCATGGATAACAAAATTTGAACAAAATTTTGTTTGTACCAGGGCTGGCAGAAAGCAGATCTTGTCCAGGCTTATTTAACCAAGTAGTAAAATTGAACAGATTCATTAAGGGTGCAAGTACTTAAGGAAAGTTTGGGAAGAGAAAGCATACTATGTGATATACAAAACCAATCATTCAGTTTCAAGAGCAGACGCTGAATTTTTACTAGCTTAATGGTACCATATTTCAGGGTGTAAGTCGGATTTTGAAGCCCAATTTTTGGGTCTTAAAAAATCAAACTTGACTTGTACACTGTGCCACACTAAAAAATTGGACACGGGGCTGGGCTTGGCTGGGCTAGGCTCAGTGCTTGGCTGGTGCAGCCCCACCCCCTGCAAGTGGGGCTGCCTGGCCTGCACCAGTGGCACTCACAGAGAATGGGGCCACCCCAGCCAAGTGCCAAGCTTGGTGTCACTTGCAGGGGATGAGGCAGAGCCTGCTGAGTGCCAAGCCCAGCCCTATCCCCATCCCCTGGGAGTGGCACCAGGCTCAGCGTTTGCCAGTGCCACTTGCAACAGACAGGGCCAGGCTCAGCACTCGGATGGTACAGCCCCATTCCCTGCGAGCACGGCACCACTTGCAGGGGACAGGGATGGGGACTACGCTGGGGCCAGGCTTGGTGCTCAGCTGGCGTGGCCCCATCCCCTGTGAGCAGTGCTGATACAGTCCAGGCAATGCTGCTCACAGGGGGTCGGGCTTCACCAGCTGAGTACCAAGCCAAGCTCCATCCCCATCCCCATCCCGATCCTCTGCAAGTGGCGCCGGGCTCAGCACTGCTTGCAGGGGATGGGTGCGGGGTTGGGCTTGGCACTCAGCTGGGGATGCACTGCTTGCAGGGGATGTGGACGAGGATGAGGACAGGCTCAGCACTCAGCTGGTGTGGCCCCATCCCCTGTGACCATGCCAAGCCCAGTCCCGACTTATGCACCATGCCTATGAAAATCCTTACCTTTCAAATTCGAAAGCCAGAGCTCTACCTATATACCATGTCAACCTATACACAATGAAATAAGGTATTTGTTAACTATAAATAGCAGATGCTTCATAGATGTCATTTTCTTGCCCAAAGTGTTTACCACTTTCAAATAAGACAAATGTTAATGAAAATGTTTGAAAGGCAAGGATTTTTGTGGGTCATGTTTTTTTACTAGACCAACTGCATATTTGGAATAGACTTAAGACATGCTTTCAAATGCAATGCATTCTTCTTCAGAATGAAAATTTCACAATTTGCAAACAGAAAACCATGCTATAATTGTATAATAAATCACCCTTAATTAGACTATCTCTATATCTTTTGTTAAAAAAAAAGAAAAGAACAAAGGAATGCAGTGATTTTGATTAAATAACCCTTCAGATATTTTTGAGTGTAGGAGAACTGTATAATATTCCTTTAGCACTTTAACATCACACTGGAAAACAGTCTAGATCAGTCTAGATAACAAAATAGCACTGAAACACACATGTTCTTTGACCTCAGTATTAGACGTCTGCACATAATACATGGGAAGTCATGTACAATTTGCTTATTGATATCCTTGAAAGATGCCAGGCACTTCCTGTTCTCATTCACGTAAAACTAGCTGAGGTGGATCCATTAATTTATAATAAGTCAAAGGGAAGAAAGCATTTTCACAGGCACATAAGATTAACTGAAAAGGTTGGCTTACTGTAGGCAAACTGTTCTAGCTCTTTATCTGACAGCACTGCAGCAATGAAACAGAGCACAGGAGCTTCCAGACACAAGAGAAGCAACTATGATTTTTCTATCAGTAATGCTTGCCCTAAAATGGTGCCACAAATGATGCCAAAGTTAGGGAGAGTCTTAATGTAAAAAATGTCCTGGCATGTCACATTAATTTTAATGAGGAATAATCAAATGTCAATAAATTTCCCATTTCTTTCACAGAAATCAGAAGAGGTTTTTATTATTATTTTTAAGCAAGTTACAAACATAAGATCCTTATGGGAAAAATCTCTTATAATCAAATAGGAATGAAACCCAGGGGCCCTATAGAAATTAAAAAGGAAAGTATACCACAAAGCCATTGTGTTGAACAGACAGTGTGTATCTTTTTAATAGATGTGTTACAGAGCCCGATAGAATTGTATAGTTGAAATATCATTATCTATTAATCTCCAAAGGATCATTTAAGAGATCTACCTTTCACTATCTTTCACTAATCAATTTCATAGGATTTTTCCATAGAGGTTTGCCTGGTCAAAACTGTATTGAAGCCAGGCTGTTTCTGATGTAGACTAAATCAGCAGTCAGCAATTTTTTTAGGCTGTGGGCTGGAGTGACCTAGTTCAGATCAGAAGCAGGTGGGCAGGCAGATGTTTGGACTCAGCCACCACTGCACCTCACTTTCCCAAAGGTGGCACAGGGAAAGCTCCTGCAGCTGGCGCCTCCCTCCATGGCAGCATGGAAAGGCAACTGCTGCCAGGGCTTCTCCGCCACAAAACACCACTGATGCCCCACATCTGTGGGCTAGATCAAATAGTTCTGTGAGATGCATCTAGCCCCCAAGCTGTAGGTTTAAACCCCTAGGCTAAAGTATGAACATTGGGCCATACCCTGTCTCATGCCAGTCATCTTAACTTTCCTTGAAATCACTGGAACTGGTTGTGAGAGGAAGGGTTTGCAGGATTTGGCCTTTTGTTTAATTGACTAGGAAGCTGGTAACAAAGGTATCAGGAAGCCTCCAGCCTGCTACCCAGCATGTGGGCAGAGCAACCACAAGAGGCAAAAGCTCTGAAAGGCTAATCAGCAGCCAGCAAGGGGGTAGGCCATGGGTAATGCAAGTCAGCAGAGCACTGCTGCCAAAGCAAGCAGTCCATCCTCTTCTCTCTGCTGTGATGTCCCTTCTCTCCATAGTTTTTCCTTTGCCTGTCTTTGCCCCTCCCTTACTGACTGCTCTCCCCTTTGCTCAGACCCAAGGTCATACTTGTGTTAAGAGCTAGAGTGTCCCTAAGCACTATAAAAACTGAACGGGGGATGGGAAAGGGTTGGGGAGAAGAATTACTGGCAGGTTCCTCTGCTACAGGTTCCTCTGCTACAGGGGACATGCTGCCCACAGATGCGTATGCTTATACCTGGGCAAAGTTGGCAACCTCAGAACATTTTTGCAAGAGACAGTTTTCCAAACAAAATCAGAGCCAGCAGGCCCTTGTGTGCTCAAGGCTTTGTGTGCATTCAGGTGAAACTGAAATTATTTTCTCGGTCTTCTTTTTCAGCTGGAAAAGCTTTATGGAGTGGCAGCACAGACTTTGGCATGTACTAGCCACCCAAACAAATACCCAGGGTCCCAGGTGAGCCCATAAGTGTCATGCTGACATCTGTGCTTCTGTGGCTTCAGTGCCATTGGTTCCTGAGCTACACAGAGATATGCCAACATGGTGCCACAGTCACACTTCCCGACTGCTGTGTATATATGACTAGATTCCAAAACTTGGAGAATAATCGAGGCTGAATCCTGCAGAACAGAGGCCAGAGAACCTCATCCAGTCAAACCTGCAGTGAGATCAACATGTTGGGAGTAACCTAGAGCACAGCACAGCCTTTAGAACAGAGCTTTCCAAACTGTGTGCCGCGACACATTAGTGTGTTGGCAGCAGTGTGTAGGTGTGTCGCACGAAATGCAGAAAATTTTGCGGTAGGGCACCGCGGAGCTCCCTTACTCGCGTCTGCTTCCCTTGGCCCCTCCCCCGGAACTGAATTACTGTGTCGCGAAATGATGCATGTCTAAAAAGTGTGTCACCAACATGAAAAGTTTGGAAAGCTCTGCTTTAGAAAGATGGCCAGATGCAAGTGTGAATTCATTATGTAGCTTGACAGTCTGTGTCACCAAGTAAAAGCCCTGGCTGGTAACAATGTGCACCTTCTATCCAGTTTAACTCAGCTTGTGCTTTTTCAGAATGTATAAAGAATCACATCTTTGCTCCAGAACACCCAAAGATGATTCAAAATTCCTGGTTCTAGTTGTCTATTAAATTCTAAAGGGTTTTAGGTGACTTCTACAGAAACCCTGTTAATTTTTTTGCAGTAGTTCCATCCCTATTACTTTCTCTTTTCTATAGGGACAATTATTTAACTACAGAATTTAGAGCAGTCAGCAGTGTTAATAAAAATGCTCAAAATAACCAGCCCTTCTTTCATCACCAAACCTATACAGGCTGCCTGCCAGAGATATAGCCTGATATAGGACATCTGCTAGCTATAGGCTGTCTGCCAAAGAAAGGCTGTGAAATACAAGAGCAAAAAATTAAATAAAATTTGGTAACCTAAAGTTGTATGTCTCTTCATGCTTTACGTCTCTGGCCATCATTTTAACCCATTCATTACTTCTCTTTCCAGCTTGGAGTCATTTTGTCTATCTCCATACCATTTATCCATCCATCTTTCCCTTTTTCCTTCTTTCTCATGTCTGCTCTGTCTCATACTCTGGACTCTGGGCTCAATGCAGAGCCTATGCTCCCAGTGCTATCAGTTATACACCCAAGGCCCAAACCTTGGGAGGGGCAAAGGATGCCAAAGGAGCTGAAAGAAATCCCATCTACCTGGCTTTCTGCCTGCTTTGTGCAGCTGGGAAGGAGTAACTATTATAAACTAAGGCTGTGCCCTAGCACCCTTATGTTGAGGTAACCTTCCTTAGATATTCTTACCTTTACTCATTCCTCTCTAAAAGCACCTGAGGAGACAGAGGAGGATATAATATGGAATAAATGGGTACATCTACCCATGCAAATAATCCAGGAGTTTACTCTCAAGTAAACTACTTGGGAGTAAACTCTCCCAGGCATATGTCTATATGTGCAGAGATGTGGAAGCAGATTTGTTGCTCTTAGTAGCAGACTGCTTCCGCTCCCTGTGGCCCTGCAATGGGCCCCTGTAGAAGTCAGTAGGAGACCTAGGCTGCCTCTGGGTGCTAACCCAGGGGCCAGGAGACAGCTGTCACCTGGTGGGGGCTGGGACATTGCTCCCTGCCCCCAGGAGTTATCTGGTGCTAGGGCAGGCTCTGCCACTGAAGCCTGGGCAGGGACAATGTCCCCCTGCCTGGGAGCTCCCAGCCTCTGCTCCATGACTGCAGGGGCAGGGCTGGGAGAACCTTATCTCTCAGTGCCAGCTCCACGGTCATGGGGCCAGTGCTGAGACATTCTTGTCTCCCAGTGCCAGCTGGGAGATGCATGACAAATAGAATCAAAGAGGTGATACTTACCCTCTATGCGACATTGGTCAGACCGCAGTTGGAGTACTGCGTCCAGTTCTAGGCGCCATACTTTAAGAAGGATGTAGACAACCTCGAGAGGGTTCAGAAGAGGGCCACTCGTATGGCTAAGGGTTTACGGGCCAAGCCCTGCGAGGAGAGA